ATGGTACATATGCAAGATTTCATGCTGGTCTTTCAAATAGCACTAAGAGAATCGATTACTATGCTGTTCAATACGAATTAATCATGTCAGTAGACTTAACACCACATACTGTAAATAGTATGGCCTTCTGTTAATACAGGTATAGAGCGGTTGGTCTGCACAATTTATGGTCTCCATATAGTACAATATTGAAAGAGTACAGAAACTGTAGTAAATTCCTGATGAAATGCAAGCGTAAGTCTGTTTACTATTAAGTGTGATTTACTGCAGTTGCATTCTCTCTCTCCCCTCCCACCCACCCCCCCGCTCTGTAGGTTTTTTGTAGAAGGTACAGAGTTTTTGCACAAATAACAATATAAGCTTTTCATTCAGAGTTAGTGCAGAATAACTAACTTGTATATAGAATCATCACCTGTATTTTTAGATCTTCTTTTCAGCTGTATAGTCTTTCTTTTCTATATTTTAAGAATACTATGTTAAGATTTGAAATGAAGATGAAAATTGCAAGGAGACTATAATCAAACAGCACTTCAAAACTGAAAATGGTGTAAATCTATGCTACCACTATTTCTCCACAGATAAACACTTGCTTTAATATAGATGGTTTTGTGACAGTACTGAGATAAACAGAAACACATTTTATCATATAGAATGGGAAACCTGTAGCCTATAATAATGATAATAATTGTGATATTTATTGTGTTCTTGTGTACAGTGCATTTTTTTAAAAAAAGCTATTTTCATGTAAAGAAGAATCAGAGAGCCTCATTACTAGAAAATGCTATCAACTGCTTGCATATATTATTCTACTCATTTGCATACCTTTGAGAATGGTTGACCAGTCACTTGCTCAGACATAAACGTGACTGGTGGTAACTCTTACAAGTAAGGTCTTTGCTTTCTTTAAATCTTAGTTTGACTTAGTGATTTACATAATTTATGTCCAGAAGTCTCCATACTTGGAAAGTTAAGAAATTGGAAAAAAAATGCATTCAGAAACTCATTCTTATTGAATGCTGATGTTTGTAATAAAGTTGGAGCTTCCTGTTCAGTGCTCTCATTTTCAAA